TAATTTTTCTAAGAAAGGAGAAGACTTTTGAATCACCCTGTAAATTGCCTTTATTTTGTTTATATATAGTTTCAAAGGAACTCGTTTCTTATATGATTTTTAATCGTCTTCTATTTTTATTTAGCTTCGTCAAAAACGACTGAATCGAGCAATTCGCAATCATCATCGCAACAGAGACCGGCTTGTCCTCGTTGTGACTTTCATGATCGTGTTTATAATTATCGTTCTTATGGTCTGTTTAATTCTGATTCTGGTGCTAACATTTATCATGATCTTGCTCGTGCTGCTCGTGCTATGGCTAGCGGTGCTTTTGATCCTGATGCCACCGATGATGAAGATCATGGTGTTATACACTTGCATGCTGATTATGCTTATGCTGTTCTTGATTTGTATGATATTACCACTGCTGCTGTTGTTGCTGGTGATGTTGATAATGTTGTTTGCCGCCGTACGCATTATTGCGTGTTTCGTTGTAAGAACGATGATGGTGTGTATCTTTGTAATCGACGTCATTGATGTGTGTTTTTGTCAAAGGGAAAACAGCGTTTTATGAATTCATAGGAAAGACAGTAGACAGAATAAACGATAAAATAAATTGAATAAATGTCGTAAAAGTCATCTGCTGATAATATTGGTGGAAGATGAAATTGTGCAGCTTTGGACTTTATTCGTGAGTCATTTTCAAAACAATATGACTAGGAACAACTGCTTACTTGACTCAAAACTGGTACAAATATAATCAATGCAGGCGATTTCCTATGTCGTGGCCTATTTTAGAGTGATCATAGGTTAGTGGGTGTGATGGTATGAGGGTGTGTCAAGTTTACCATAATCCAGATTTCGACCTTGCTAAAGGATTTCATCGGATGGTTTTGACTCTGCTATACCCGTTTTGAATGATCTCTAATAAAACATTAGAAAATCACAAACAAAGCATAATAATCTATACAGTCTACCCAAAGGATTGGAAATGAATCAATTGGAGTATCGATAGATATATTTATAACAGTTGGTGTGTCAAGCTTACCATGATCTAGATTTCGTGTTGTATTGTGATGTTCCCTAGAGAGTAGATCAATTTGAATGAATTTGGTATTGCATTGTAGTTACTTTACATGTTTACATTTATGGAATATAATATTGATTGGTTGTTGTTTAGTGTTTGGTTTTGTTTCAATGGTGCAGCTTGAAAATGAAGTAGTCTGAAACGGAAGAATTGCTAGAGATAACACATTTTTTGAGTGTTTCTGGTATGTCGTATCTTGGGGGTGAGAATTTTCTAAGTAGGCATGTTTATTTTCCACTCAAGTATTCATAGCAAAATAAGTTGGAAATATATATTAGTGGGGGAACAGTTATGGCTTTGTCTTTTGTATGTTCGGTCAGTGTCTGAAGGTAATAATCATGATTGTTTGAGGGTGTGTCTAGCTACTATTATCATGATTTCGTCTCGGCTAAGAGACTCATCAGATGGTTTCGACTATGTATCCGTTCAAGAATGATACGTAGGTCAGCAACCATTCATATTTTAAATGTGTTGGATGATGGGAGGGCGGAAATTGTTTTTCTGAAAGTACAGATTTGATCTGTTTTCTAGTGGTATCGGATTGACGATATTGAAGCGGATGTGCTTTTTGTGGGTCGGCGATTGTCTTTCGAAGGATTTATTTTGGAGCGGTGGAAAATTATTTTGTTGGTTTCAGGACGATGGTCGATGTTTTGTCTACGGATTGGACGTATTGTAATTTCGTTTGTTAATGTGCTGGTTGGAACGAGTCCATAGTATTTGTCTTCGCATGGTTGGAGCGTTCAATTTGGATGAATGCTTTTTTGAATGCAGAGGAGCGAAATTATTTCTTCATGTAGTTATTAACGGACGGTTGAAAGACTGTGAGAGTTGAAGGTTTAAAGTTGAAAGGTCCTTAATTTAGTAGAGAGCGAAATTAGTTAATAGTTTGATGTATTATGTAGATTCGGAAAAGCTAGAATGTGAACGTTTTTGACTTAAGATTGTTATGATGTCGTTGATCATTTTGGTCTGTTTGTGAATTTTGTTTTCGCAAATATCTTTCATTTGTAGCATTTTTATAGGGATTTGGGGAAGGATAATGTGTATTGATCGCGAAGTGGAGGGAAGTTTCGTTAAACTCGTAAGTGGCAATGATATTTTGGATGACCGAGTAAATCACGATGTTGAACGGTTCTGTATGCGAAAGAAACTGGTAAAAATTCAGAAGATTTTCCCTCTGTCAGAAGTATTGTGAAGAAAATGCCAAAGTCAAAAGTATTAGAATATCTAAAATGGTTGAGAGAAGTTCGTAAAATGAAAATACTTCGCCATATTCCTAGAAGATATGGCAACCTTGACCATTAGATTGCTGTGCCATGAGGTATAATGCAACACTGATCACCTTGTTTGTCTTGGGGATTAAGTGCAGTTTATGTTGAAATAGATGTATTACAGGGTGATTCAAAAGTCTTCTCCTTTCTTAGAAAAATTACTCGTTCTCCCGTATTACAAACCCGATAACGCTCAAAATTGGATGTCTAATTCCTTGTAACTAGACGAATATTTCTATAAATTTTCAGACCTCTAGTCCTTATTATAGGGAAGATATATCCAGTCGTATGGTAGAGCAGATTTGTTTCCCATGTTCCAAAAAAGTTGTAAAAAATTTATTCAAAAGAAGCATCTAAAATAATTCACTTTCACTATTCATACATGTATTAACACATTCGACGCGATGGATCCCATCGGTGGGACCCACCACTCTCTAATCAAATCGAATCGCATCGAATGTGTTAAAGAGAATAGACGAGATTTTTCATGAACATATTTAACTGGAAGAACAATCGGATAAAATGGCTGATATCTGGCCCATTGAAAGCATCTGGAGTTATATTAAACAAAAATTAGAAGGAGAAAAAATTGAAAGTTTAACAATCTTGGAAAAGAAATTGTAAAACTTTGGAGAACTATTAGTCCACACATTTGTTCAAAATTGATAAACTCAATACCAAGAAGATTACAGTGTTTAATTGATAATGATGGTTATCCAATCAACAAAAGATCCATGATGACATGAAAATGTAAAATAATCTATTGTCTATTATTGTATATATAGTGAAAGTGAAGTATTTAAGATGTTTCTTATGAATAAATTTTTTAAAACTTTTTTGGGACATGGGAAAAAATCTGCTCTACCATACGACTCTATATATATCCCCTATAATAAGGACTAGAGGTCTGAAAATTTAGAGCAATATTCGTCTAGTTGCAAGAAATTAGACGTCCAATTTTGAACGTTATCAGATTTGTAATAAGGAAGAACGAGTAATTTTTCTAAGAGAGGAAAAGACTTTTGAATCACCCTGTAAATTGCCTTTATTTTGTTTATATATAGTTTCAAAGGAACTCGTTTCTTATATGATTTTTAATCGTCTTCTATTTTTATTTAGTTTTAATGTTTATAAGAGTCAGATAGAGAGAGAAAAACACTATGTTTAGTGTTCATACGTTCGTTGCAAGCATTGTGGTGGTGACTAGATGCGCTGTTGTGGTCGGCATTTGTTCTAATTGTTGAACATTGACGTTCCTTTGTCAATGATGGCGTCTTCGTATTAGTTCTTGGGTGAGGCACTTATTGTTGTAAGTGTCAACGATCGATTTTGTGTTGATAGCCTGTGTCGTTTCAAATGTTTTGTTCCATAATTGATGAATATGGTGTTTAGAACATTCAAGTCTTTTCTCATGTTTGCAATGAATTATTAGTTGTCTTGTCGTTTGTTGCTGTCCGCCTAGTTTTGTGTGGATTGGTTGTGTTTTAATATTGACTTGTGTATTTCGATGTACTGTGGTCCATATTCGTGAAACTATTTGATATTTGGCAACTGTCGGTTTATTTAATAGATTGCGGCGTAGATCAACAAATTGAATTTCGTCGCTTCTTGTCGGTGAATCGATGGATGTCGGCAAGTAGGTTATCGAAAAGTTTTTAAATCGACTATGAATATATCTTGATGGATAACTAGAATTGAAAAAGAAGTGCATGAATATTCCAATGGATCAACAAAATTCACCCATTATATAGTAATATTAGTTTGATTGTATGTCGTTGTTCACGGAATACGGATAATGTCGATGAATACCTTAGTGCTCGTAGTAAAGCCCCATCAATAATGTTTTTGAAGACATGCCGAGGATGATCAGATTTGAGTGGTACTACATATGGTTCAGCTGCTTCTTTATGGTACACTGAAGTCATCAAGATTCCATTTTTATTTTCAATAAATGCATCAAGAAATGGTACACATGTTCCAAGTTGACGAACTAATTTGATATTTGAATGATAACTATTGGCTTCATCCAGCATTTTGTGGATTTCATGTAGTAGTTCATTTGAAGTAAAGAAGATGTCGTCAATATATCTATGAATGAGACGTCAGAAAAAAGTAATATTGTTTAATAATCTAGGATACATACCGTCCAGAGATTTCATTTGATGCCATTTGTCGATGAACCAGCTTTTGTTCCTATTTCCACATGAAAATGCTGGCTAGAGTTAATGTAAATGCTGATCCCATAGCACCACCAATAATTTGTCGATCGAATTTCTTTTCATAGATGAAAACATTTTGTGTGATGACAATACAAGCTAATTTTCGAATAGCATCAATTGGAATGTGTTTTACTTCACGGTAACCATATTGAAGAAGAAATTCAGTTAGAATATCAAGTGATTCTTCTTGTGGTAACATTGTATATAAATCTGTAATATCAAATATGCATAGATAAGTTGTTGGTTTAAGATAACCATTTGCTGTATATCTTTCCAAACGACGAATTAAATTAACTCCATCAATTATTGTTGTTGATCGGACATGTTTATCAAATAATGGTCGAATTAATTTATCTAAAAACCTTGATATTCCAGTTGTTGGTGTATTCATTGATGAGACAATAGGTCTTAATGGTGTTCCTTCCTATTAAAATAGAATGAAATAGTATGTGAAACATAGACATATATTGAATTACTTTGTGTGGTTTAGGAATGAAATATAAATAAGGCAGTTCAACTGTTTCTCGTTTTGGCATCATTTTGTCAAGTTGCCATGATAGAATGTGTCTTTTTTTACGAAGATCATTGAGTAAATGAACAACTTTATCAAATACTATCCACAATGGATTAAATTCTAATTCAATATAAGCTCCAGTATTTTGTCGATAAGCTTCTGCTTTCTTTTCATAATCTATTGCATGACCAATATGAAATATACCACTTTTATCTGTAACACGAAGAATATATTTTCCTTTCTTTAATCTATGCTTAATTGATTTCATTTGCTGAAGTTCATTTCGAGCACGACATATCTCAAGATAAGATATGAGAGCCATATATCGTTCAAAAAGATATGTTTTCAATTGTTGCGAAAACTATTTTATAATTGTTGATAAATTTGGTATATGATGATTACGAACAAGATAAGGTTCGATGACATTCATAATATTCTCATGTTCTTGCAGCACTTGTTTTTGTTGATATTTATAAGAATGAAAATAACTTTGATTTGGTCTTATACAATTGGGTCGTTAATAAAGACATGACATAAAAGAATGAGCATGTAAGAACGAATTAAGTGACTGAGATAACTATTGAAGAAGATTTTGAACTTACCATTATTTGAAACATAATCTAATTGAACACGATTCAATATGAGTTTTGGAACATCGACAATTATTTGTGGATACACATGGATTCTTTGTTCTTTTGATAATGAATGACGACGATACTGACGTAATAATTTTATATGCAGACGAGATTCTTTATAACGAATTGTGCGTATTAATCCGTTTTTATGATGATGCAAATACACTTTCAGTAACATCTTTATCATATCTACGTGATCATTTTGATAAGAAGAATTTGTATGTAGCAGTTTGGATTCAAATGTGTTGATGTCTTGTTGATAAAGATACTCATAATGCTGAATTTTAGTTTCATATTTTTTCAACTCATCATGAAGCTTTTGACGTTTTAATTCTTGTATAATTTTGTTAGATTTATTCTCAGAGTTTTTGATCTGTATCAGTCGTGATGTAGTCGAATGATTTTGGTAATTGATGACATAAAATGCGTTGTTCAAGCATTGTTCAATCTTCGAATATTTTCAGTTGTTTTTTACAAATAGTAGTGATTTTATTTATTACCTCACGCGAAAAAAATACAAACAAAACTATACATAATTAGAATTGTTGTTTATACTTGTTCTGTAGTTAAATGGTGCGAACACAATTGTTTAAATAACTCTTTATCATATATGTTATCTTGTAATTTCTTTATTTGATAATTGATTGTTCTTAATAGATCAATATGATACAGACGAATAAATTCTTTTAACCTTTCATCAACTGTCTCTAGAGAGGGTAATGCGGATGGGCAAGATGATGATTGTGTAGTTAAGTCAGTTGTACATTGTTCGATTTTCTTTTGTAATAAAATCACATATTCCCAGGTCGAAATCACCCTGTCGGATCCGACGAAATCCGATGGTAGGAAAATATCCATAAGATCCTTTATTTTATTTTATTTTTATTTAATTGTATATTATTTTATTTTATTTTATTTATTTTATTTTATTTTATTTTATTTTATTTTATTTTATTTTATTTTATTTTATTTTATTTTTATCTAGGTGCATACCAGATGCCTTGGAGCACTAAAGTATAAAAGGACCTTTATTTTGTTCTAGACTTTATTAAGCATGAAGTAATTCCACAGTGAGTACGAATTTTGTGGAACTCACATATATTTTCGAAGAAAATAGTGAGTGTAAATTTTAAGTTCGAGTTTTTGCGGCTCCACACACACCCAAAACAAAAAACAAAAACAAAACAAACCACACCTCCCCCACACACACCCCCC